TGTCAAAGAATATGATCTGCAAAACAAAACTGACATTTGAAAACATCACTTTCCTGAAGCATAATCAAAAAGATTCAGAGAGAAAAGAGTTGAACAGAAGTCAGATAGACTAAGATGTTCAAACAAAGTATTAATATGGAATACAGTAACTCACAAGGTGATCATCTCTGGTCATTGCGCTCTGTGCTGTCAACATAGTCTCATGTAAAAAAATTTTACGAATGTGATGTCCGTCATTACGGCTCTAGAGTACACTAATAGTGCTTATTACTATGCAATATTAGAAAAAAAGCTTACAAAAACATAGAAGTGTTGAGGTCGCGGGACTGTTGGAACGGGATCTGCGTCAAAATCAGTTTGATTTGATTGAACCTCTTCCATCACCCGCACGTGTATGAACTCCGCCAAATGTTCCACTAAAATTTCTTGCATGATTATAAAAACTTAATTTTGCAAGAGATATTGTATAAAGAGATTATGCCATGTGTGGTTGCACTATACACACCTCTAGCAATATTGCGGTTACATTAATGATCCTAACTTTGAGCCTGAGAGTAAATAGTATTTAAGATTCCGACTGTCATGCGTAAACATTAACCAATGGACAAGATTTGGAAGCTGCTTAGCGCCACCCTGAGCTAAAGGCACCATTCTTGGTGCTTTTCCGTTATTCGGACTCATTCCAGAAGGTTCTGTACTGCTATACCAGTCAGTGTTCAGTTAAGCTTCGTTAAATAAGTGCAAAAGGTAGTGAGATACAATCATATACTTTTCCGTTATTTAGACCTAGTTGAACTGTTCAAGGGGATCAGTCATGAAATGGCCAAATAACGGAGAAGGACCGCAGCTTTTTTTTAACTGTACGGGGCAAAAGCCAGTAGCCTGCTCAACTCACCCTTTGTTGTTGCACTAACTGCATGATGATTACGCAAAATAACTATAAAAAACCAACTGGTAGTATCATGCTTTGTCCTTATGTAGCGAGGCTGCATCAGTTCAGCTGGACATTGTCGACGTAGGAGAGCAGCAGAAGGAAGTAGTTCCGCCTCTATTTCATCTGCGCCGGATACAGGAGGGTCGTACATGTCGGTGTCATCCGTCTAAACAGTGCAAATTCTGAAGTCTAAATCATGGATCAGGTTACTGAACATACATGCAAATGAAGAAAAGATACCAGAAGATAAGAAAAAGCGTAGATGTTAAAAAAAATTTGAGTGCTGCTCCCCGCAGTCAGAGAGATGAAGAAGTCAAATCTGTCGATCACAAACTCACCCTTCTCTGTAAGGGGTCAGTCATGTTCTCCTCTGGCATATGAGGAGAAGAAGGATTTTCGTCTAGCCACTGACTCAACCGTTCCTTGGGATGAAGTACAGACACGGGCGGTTGAACTGAATGTGCACTAGTGCTCTGTTGTGATCCACTGGTCAAAGGGGACAATTCGGATGTGGTAGCATTCGTAGTATTTCCCAACTCGTCACTGCTATTTTGCACCATGGGTGGTGTCAAACTCTCAAAAAAGAAAAAAAGATGTGAGCAAATTGTAGAAGCAGTGGTGGGAACAAACCTTCAAAAACCTGCGACTGACCTCTGTTCCAGGCGTATCGTTAGGATTACCATTTGCAAGCGCTGGTCGCGATGGTGGGTCATCACTGCAGTCAGAAATGGATAAGGATGATGAAGGGGTAGAAGAAACAAGAGAAGATGCGCCAGAACTGCTGTATGTCGAAGACGAAGAATCGCCTAAATATTAACTGCAACTGAAGACGCAAACTCTTCTCACTCTTATCTTGGTTTTCACTTATTTTCGAACTTTCTTCCTAGTGTAGGGTGGCTGAAAGGCAATCGTAAATATATCAAAAGATAATCCTCGAAGTAAATTTGCTCATCACAGAGACGGCAATATGCAACACCTTATCGTGCAATTCAACAATTTTCTTCACTTCATTTACTGTAGCGAAAGAATTAAAGAAAAGACTGCTGTTCGGTAAACGATGCTATGCTAAGCAGTAACCACTTAACAGCTTGTTGTTAATTGTCGTTTGATGGGTCG